AAAATTGCATTTATCATACGAAAATCTTTTAGACACACTAAGCGCTTTTTACAAATACATATGGCTTGCTATTCCCTTTTCTACTAGCAACAGTATTCTGTTATGTCATTTTTCCTTCCTCCGGATCGAAGAAAAATTGATTCGACGGAATATTGTTGCTAGAACGTAGTGCGTTGTATCGTACACAATCTCCTGCGTAGTAAATTAGTAAAATAGTTTTGTTTGGTATAGCAAATGCAATTAGGGGGAGAGGTACGCTATGAACTGTCTTCAAATCAAGAAATCTACCCTCCTGTTGATTCTACTCTGGATGCTGTTCTTCAGCCCATTATATCGTAAGTGCTTCTTTTCATTGCTTTGTGCTTCCCTCCTATAATAATATCTAGTAAAAAATTAAAATTAAGTTTGGCTTTATTAATAACTAGTGCACTACATGCTGCTGTTACACATATACGCACAGTTACACTTTCCAAAGAGCATTGATATTTTGAATATTTTAAATTTTAGTATACCATATTTTCATATTTTTACGTATAATATATAAATGGTTTTACCTTAAAAATTTATTTTTAAACTGAATATTTGCTTATACCATCAAACGTTTTGTTTTGTATTGTTACAGAACTTTAACCAGGAGGCAACGGAACTGCCCGAAATGAGCATGAAGCTTTAAATAAATACAAAATAGACATTTATGCACATATTGTATATTTAAGAAAGTTTTTATACCTCATTCAAATTAAATATCTATAATCCCATCAGTCATTGAATCTTATAAAATAGAACAACATAAACAATGAATTAAATGCGCAGCACTTTTATTCCTTGATTCAAAAAGTGTCTCTAATCTTATCTAGTCCTTATTTAGCTCTCTTTAGATGCCATGTGCCTCATTAGGTTTCCTATAAACTTTTCCATCTTCTTTAAATCCTGTGCTATCTCCGTTCTATATTGTAGGCACTACGAAAGAAAATGACAAATGTATTATTTAAATAGATTTTTAAGATTTACAAGGTAAGTTGTATAAGAGTAGAGCTTACCGTTCGATTATCTGTAAGTTTTAGACATAGAACACCTTTATTATGGCAATATTTCATTGTATACCGAGCCTAGAGCAACAAAATAATAAATTATAAACTTGATGATTATTAAACTATTTATAAGTATAATCAGCCTTCATAAATATTATTTATTTCACCTATGACTTAATTTAATTATGTTGAAATAAATGAATATTTTGTATACAATATTCCATGTATTTTACATGGAATATTCACAATCTAAAAACTGATAGGACAGTACTTTTATAGTTAAAAAAATTGTTCAAATTGTACAGTTTATTTTTCAATGTGACATGTCATGCTGTCACATCAGTCACACTTTTTATGTTCTATAATTTATGTTTTCTAATCAATATTTTATGTTATTCAATGGAATGTGACTTTACGTATATTTTAGGCTGTAAAAATGTATAAATTAACATTAACTTAATTAAAAACAAACCTTCATTGGGTCTTGAAGATATAACCTCTCAGCACCTTTTTCGAATTCTTCCCACGAACTTAAATACGTCATTTTTATTTGTAACGAGGGAAAAATAATATAGGTAAAATTATACTACGTTAATATTTCTACTAAAAATATATCTTTATATTCATCGCCAGAAAGGACGTTGTTTATAAAAAGACACAAGAGAACAACATAGACAGATGTCTCGTTGGAACCGGAATGGGCAAGAAATCAAAGTGAAAAAAAAATGTTTTCGTGGCGGACTCTGACGACAAGTTAGTATACTGCGCACTGATTGTGCGCAACTGAGTAGGATCATTGAATAAACATAGAATAGACTGAACATGAAATAGAGTTTTGTGTCTCAGAATCTGAAATATCGACCAAAAAAAATCACTGGTTTTTTAGCGCACTCTACATTTAACAACGTGAATTAGAGAACTAAAATAAGTAAAATGATACAAGAACAGACGAAAAGTGTGGAATTAAACTCGTTTACAAACAAGCTAAATAATTGTCGAATAGTCTTTAGAAATATAGAAAATAATTTAATTGTCATTAATGAATTACTGAAACTATGAAATAATGTTTGAAAATATAAAATAACTAAATCACTGATTTAATTATATAAATAATTTTAAATAATTAAAATTATTAACTATGAAAATATATAAAAATATCATAGAAATGCAACACTTAGCGATTGTAACAAAATGCTTATTTTTTATAATTTATAATTAAATGATTAATTAATGATTATTTTTTTATTATTAATATTATCGTCGATTATGTAAAAATATGAATAATTATTTATCATAAATTGTATTTATAACGTCATTTGAAATATTTGAATTTGTGACCCGTATGCGCAAGCATAGATGCGCAGAATTTGAAACTCAGTAACAATTTTATAAGTTCGCGCGGCGAATTGTATAAATAGTTCCGTTATGAATTCTTTGTGATTTACGTGAATCTAACAATGAAGCGCTTCAAAAAAGAAAAATACCATAGTATTAGCTGTTGGCTTCGTGCATGTGGAAAAATAACTTGAAAATTAGGTAAACTTTAACTTTTATAACATAATAAGTTAGTCTTGGGTTCAAACAAGTGACACTAGTTATAAATTTGAATTTGAATGTAACACTGATTTAACTTGCAATTTATAAGAAAACAAAATATTAATTTGTAATTATTTTATTTGATCACTCAGTACAAATAAATAATATTATAAAATAAATGTTATAATATAAAATTCAACTCTTAAAAAGGCACACTGTTAAAACTTAAATATTCATATAAGCGTTTTCTCATTTGCAATAAAACATGTTTCACTTGAACACTTGATATAGTAAAACTATCTTTAAATGAATAACAATTATTATATTAACATTCATAACGCGAGTTCTATTTGAAAGAGGTAGATTTTATGGAATGTTAAAGTAGACTGACATTTGATGCATTGACAATAATTTAAATACTTGATCTGAATTTTCATTGACATTTAACTTTGAACAAGTTCTCTTAAACTATAAATAAAAGCTTGAATTGAAAAAGGATTCATTTTATAGAATGTGATGTAGAATGTCGCACATAGATTCACATATTATTTGCTTTTCAGCAAAAATTGTTAGATTAAGCTGCTGATACACATATTAAAATATCTAATTATAAGTACAGAGTAATTGTTTTGTACTTTGGTCAATAAAATACTTAGAGCTAGATTAACTTATTTACAACTATAAAAAATATTTAAATCATTGGCAGAAGTTTCGTGAATATTCAATTTGACTATTAATTTATGTCCATAGTGCTGTTGGCATTATTCCTTCTACTGTGCCAGCAGCTGGTTTCAGATCTTCATTAATTAAGAAATTTAATGGTATATTTACTAAATGACCCTAAAGTAAAATTGAAAATGAGAACATAAAATTTATTAAAAGTAATAGTTATTATTATTTTTTACATTATTTATACCTTAATTTGTTCAACCTCTTCTTGGGCTAAAAGTGGATTTGACGTAGAAAGTGGCTCTTCATTTTGATACTGCTTTAGCATGGAGAAGTTAACAACTTTATCTGTCGGGATAACACGAAACACTGTTTCATAGATTTCCGTGTTTCGGTTACTCCTCGCACACCACACATCTCTGTAGAATGATTTTTTAATTATATCAGTTATATCTATGTCTTCGTTTATTTTAAATAATCCTAAATGCTCGGAAATTAATTGCTTTCGTAATGATCCTGCAAATTTGCCACAAGGAAACGGTATATCATTCATTCTTCCTTCTTCGAATTCTTGATCCTGTAAATTATGAAATAATTAATACTGATAATTCGAATTTATATATTTGATTCAGTAAGTAATTTACATGAATTATTACTGCAATTTCACTGTCCCTTGTTGCTATCATGCTTCTATCATTAATATTGGCAGAACCACAAATAACAGTATTGTCATCTACAATTAATAGCTTGCTGTGAACATAAATTAGTTCCGTCACTAGCGTACCATTTAACATTGCATGAGTTCTTAAACCATGGAACGTAATGTACTCGCTAGGATCTTCTATTCCTGCTTCAATTAATCGATTTAAGATAGCATCTTTACCCCTGTTTTTATAATTTGAACGTTTACAACTTTTAAATTCACACATTTTTCGTTCTTAGTTACGGTTTGAGATTTCATAATAGAATTTTCACCTTGATATAGAAGCATAATTCCAATGGGTAATAGCACGCAAGGCAGTACCAGTTGGTCCCCCAACCTCACCTTCGAAACCTGGTAGTAAAGGCATTATCACGAATACTCTAAATACTGCACCTTCTCTGTGTGCTCTTAAAATGCGTTTTAATAATGTTTCTCCGATACGATTTTTTACTACAGAACGTTGCATGGATGCAAGCGTTATGAAAAATTGATTCTCTATGTATATATATCTTAAATAGGAAAAAAAAAAGATCACAATAGTATTAGGGCAATAGTCGCTTTAGTGTCTCTAAAAATTAATTTTACCTTTCTGCTTTACTAATAGTCTCGATATAAGCCTCTTGTATACTTTGCTCGATTGTTTCTGAATCGAGAAAACCAGCCGACCAAGAACTAACGGATCTTAATACTTGACAATTGACATTGTGAATAGAAGATCTCTCAATAAATGGAATAAAATTGCTGCAATTATGGTATGATTTTGGAAGCAGAAATGGATAACATGAGTTTAATCTTGCTTTTTCCATCTACAAGTATAATCTACATAAATGTTACTTAATCGTTGAATTATTACAGAATTAAAAAGCACTTGCCTTAATTGCATTCCAACGTTGAATAAAATGTCTGGCAATGTCTCTTGCTGTTGCACCTTGTACCATAACTCCAATATCATGCCATGGCATTCTGGGAGTATTGCTTCTGTCTACTAGATCTTGATAAGGCTTTTGAAGATCATTAAAATCTTTGACAATAAAATTTACATAATCTTTTCCCAACCATAATTTAGCTACACCTGGATAATCTGACAATTCGTCTTCGTTATATGCGAGTGATTGACTAGTATCAACTGAAGTTTGCAGCGTATAGCTGAAATATCAATGATATTCCTTAATTAATATAAAAATATTTTTAGTTTTTATTACATATCTTTTTGAAATATAAACTTACGTATCTGGAACATTTTCCTCATCGCTACTTTCTTCGTGTGGATTATATACCATGTTAATTAATTCTTCCCTTTTTAACAAGATATTACGTTTCATTCTATCCATGGTATTTTTTGCCATCCCAAATAAATTTTTACGCTCTGTATTCGGTGTGTCACATTTCATAGTGTCGCTTTCTTCTATTGGCTGCATTAGCAATAAATCACTAGCATTCAATTGTGATAATGCCGAAAATGGTGACACTGTCTTCTTGCTCACTACTGGCCTAAAATGGAGAGAGTAAAATAAAATAAACTGCAAAAAATTTCCAATATAGGATTTATCGAAAATAATAATGAAAGAAACTTACAATACAGGTATAGATTTTGTAGTAGCCATTACAACTGTATTAGTTGCAATAGCCAATGGTAACAAAACGTGCTTCTTATTTATGGCGACACTTACTTTCTTAGTGCTGGTATTGGTAAATCTACCTTTAGATGGAATATAAATGCTGGAATGTTGAGTGCTACCTGTAATTGCAAATGCAATTAGTAACGATGTTAATAATTGATTTAATTTTAAACGTCACATACCCAAATCTATTAATTTATGTTCATTATTATCCCATCGACCATAACATAGATCAATTCCACCAAGAAAGGCAATACTTTGATCAACAACTACAATTTTTTCGTGGTGTGCCCAGAGTAATACTCCTACCCTTGCATGATCGGGATGACGTAATACTTTTATATTTTCGGGACATTTTTCAACTAGCCGTTGCTTACTATAGAAGCTGTTTATGCCCAGTGCAACTTCTACTTCTTTATAGATCATTATGAACACTTTGACACCTTCATACTAAACAAAAAATTAATTATCGTAAATACGCATGGTAAATTCTTAAATTTTTAACAATATTTTACGTTGTATTCAATGTTATATTAGCCTTACCAAGAATCCTTAACTATTGTCAGCATTAACAGAGTAAAGTCTTATTAAAAATACTAGAAGAAATAATCAATAGAAATAAAATTTTTGATAACATACTTACTGCTTTTCTCTCTAAAATTTTATCTAATCGCCAATAATCACTACAAATAGCTGGCCTTTTCATATAAATTTCAGGTGATAACCACCAATCTGCAATAAAAATTTCTTCTTTCGCATTTTCTAATGCATCTGCAACAGCAGACATATATCCCGATCCATCTACAAACCATGTAGCTGGTATAGGGGAACGATAAGGTGCAAATGAATTATGTGGATTTGATTGTATAAAATCTCGACCTACAATAACATAACTCGATAATTTAAGCTTTAAGTTTTCTTTTGCAGTAGTTAAGAACTTACCTTCTTTGCTACTAACTTCTTGTATGAACTCCATCCATTCTTTAGCCTTCCTTCTTGTCCCACATTTAATTACTATGTGCCTACTAAGATTCACTATTTGTATGCCATTTCTTAATCCTGTTGTATACAAACCAAAACTGATTCCAAACCCATTATCCATTAGAATCACTGACTTTATGCTACCATTTTTCGGTTTCATATAAGCAACGAAAGTATCTTTAACAACGAGATGTCGAGAATGCCATTTTCCACATAGAGATGTACAAAAATGATTACATCTAATACAACACATACTTTCGACAAGACCACAAAAGTTACATCTACTTTTTGCACCTGATCCGGTTCGTTTTAAAATAATTCCTTCTTTGCCTTTCATTCCTAAATCTTCTATAAATGATAAGTGTGAAATTTCCAAAAAATTGATCTGAAAATATTTTATATCTTAGTTAGTAAACATTACATGCACAAGTACTAATTATTAACTTACTGTTTCTGGATGGTGCAAGTAGATTTTTATTTTTAATAAATTAGTGAAATAATTTTCTAATACTTTTTTCCTATGCTCTAATTGTTCATAAGGTACTAAAACATCTGGCCTATTTGGAAATCTGAAAAAGGAAATAACATTTTTAGTTTTTTGGTTGTGCACAGTAAATAAATGAATATTGTTACCTTGGCAGTGCGCCTCTACAACTTTTGCCTTCTTTTGCATCTCCTAAGCTTTTCAGACTGGTCCTTCTTTCTTTGTGACTTTTAGTTGGAAAAGGTATATTTAAACTGGCTCTATATATCTTTAATTGATTATGCAAATATTGGATATCTTTGTATCGTTTTTTAATCATCCAAGTAAATGGGCCATGCCTAAATTCAATAGTGTACAAATTTGGATTCAATGGATGTGTTGTTACGCTACGCTCATTGTTTATAATGTTCACATATACTTCTTCACCAGGAATAAAAACATTATGATATTGGCTTTTAAAATTTTTTGGCAAATCATGTATTGCAGAAAAAGGTATCACACCAAGACATTCTAAAACAAAAAAAGACAACATACATTTTATTTTAGATCATTACATTTTATGTTGATTGTATCAACATAATTGACATATTATTTTTAAAGAAAATTAATACAATATAGAAATAACAAACTAAGACATAAATTTACCTCTATTATCAATATCCTCGCTAGAACTAATATTTTCATTTTCATTTAACAAATCAGGTACACCCAGTGTATCATCATATTCAGGATCATGAGAAACATTCTCAGTTTTTTCATCATTTGAAATGCTGTCAGACATTGTTGGCACTATCTTACAAAATTATGAATAAACATATGTAGTCAAGTCAAATTAGTTTTACTATACACTTTTCATTGCTTTCAACTTATACTGATTTCTATTTATAACACAATCTTATTTCTTCAAAATTTTTAATAAATTTTTTATTTCTATATAAATTTGTTAATTAGAAAGAGCACACACACAACAATAGAAATTACTCGAGATTAGAAAAGTGACGAAAATATACATCATTAGTACATAGATAAGTAAATAGCTAGGTAGTACTAACATAGAACAAAAGGCGCATCATGACAAAGAACTAATGTATTTTTTTGATTAAGAAAATGATCTAATGCACGCGGAATTATTAGATTCGATTCACAGAAACGAGTAGATTGTGTCACACACTTTTTTCATCGCATGTTGATCAATATTTATCTGCCGATTACAATCTTTATACATTACATATAAAATTATTTAGTCGTATTTAATTAAAATACGAACTCAATGTTAGAATAGAAATTCTGGAAAGGATACAGCTTATTTCTGTCTTAGAAGTTACATGTCACTCTATTAAGGTTATAAATATTAATAATCTTTCCATGCACAATTTTAAGACAATGAATTTCACATGGTATTGTAAGTGTTTCATATACACTTCTCAGATAATTCCATTATCATAAGAAGTATCGTCATAATTGATTACATTACACGAACGATTTCATCGTTGTTCATTGTGTGACAACTTAAGCCACTCATGTTTGTTGACTGACTAATCATAGATCGGACACAACGTCTGTAGATCAGAATTCAATGATCAGACTTTACGAACTATCGGTATGGTAGAGATTTTGAAATATCAGTGGTAAAGTGTTCTTTTTTTTTTTATTTAAACTTCACATATTCTGGGATTGAAAAGTGTTCAAAAATTTTGCCGAGTTAAATAATTTCATAGATATTTTTTGTTATATTCAGATGATTTATGTAACATTCTATTTTACCAACAATGATAAAGATTCCATCTTTCATCCATTGATAAATATAAAACATAGATCAAATCCTCGTCTGTGATATAAAATAAAAATTATTTACACTTGTATTTGTATACACTTTTGTTTTCATGTGCGAATAATCTGAAGATTTAATGAAATTTGTGAAAATTGAGGATTTGGGCATGTATGATTAGTCCATCGACGAGTACACTTACCTACTATGTTATTCTTTTTTTGTAAAATGGTAGGTATAAATTATTTTTCACAGACAACGAACAACAAGAGTTAATAATAAAAACAAAGTTTTATAAAAGAAAGAGACTTATTTATCAATATTAATGAATACTGATAACTAATTACTTGTTCATTCGTTATATCTTAAGTTCAAAATTAAATAGCAAAATAGTAAATGGGTTGGTTCTTAAAACGTCGTCAAAGTATGTTCTTGAATATTATCAAATAATTATTACCATTTCCGAACAATTATTTACTGTATAGCTTATTATCAATGATATCTTATTAACTTCCATTGATATTTATCGACACGAAAAAATTCATGGATAAAAAATGAGATATAGATATTTGTGCAAAATGTGTATCAAATATGATCCCCTCTTACACATATAAATATACGTAAAGTATATTAATTAATTAATTAAAATGATTATGTAGATAAATGCAATTTTTTTTCGTCAAAAGTGGAATCATAATTATGATAATCATATATAGAATTTTAATACGGACTAAATATTTAAGAAAAATGTTCAAAAGAAATTTTTAATCCAATGAAATTACGTACGAAATTTCAGCTTGAGATATTATTGATATTGCAAAAAACGTTTGCTATACAACGATAACCAGTTATATTGTTATCGGAACAATTGAGTTTAATGTATGCGTTGCGTACATATCAGGTATGAAGAAAAGTAGAACGGTTTATAAAAGGGTTCGATGTAACCTCGTTCCCCGTTAATACTACGCACTCTGTGCGTTTTTAACCCGAAAACTCGATATCTCTTATGTTACGGAGTGTACGCAGGAAGCGCGCAGCCGTACGATTAGGGAGGGTAATTGTTCAGTTTTGCGATCTACTTTCGAATTGGAACGCAAACGATCGTATTTTATTCCTGTATTAGAATGTCAAGGGAAAGCGAATCAATGCAACGATAATTCAAAAGAAGTGGTATCCTTTATTTTATTTTTTTATTCTTGCATTGATTTGCTTGCATGTTTTATTGAATTATAATAAAATCTTCAATATACACGTATATTATTGTCTTCATATGATTGTTGTAAATAAAATTTATGAATTGATCATGGGAATAAAATTAATTTGGTTATGATTGAAATGGATTATTATAATTGTTGCAGTTAAATTTAATGAACCTATAATGGATGAGATGTCCAGTTATTCGTAAAAAAAAAATTGCAAAATTAATTGAGTATGATGAATGAAAAGATAAAATGGGATATATAATTTAATCAGTTCCTTAATCAGTTCCATTTGGATTGAATAAATTTCTTAATAATAACAAAAATCTAATATTATTTATTTAAAGGAAATCAAGTTATATCCAAATATTATGGGAATTAAGAAATTTCTAATTATTAAATATTGTGATTAAAAACATGATTAATTTTGTGTTGATCGAAAAAGAAATTCTATATGAAAATAAGTGAAATTTTAATTGACAAAATTAATATCTTTTAAACGATATATTTTATTTTTAAAATAATTATATGATGGAATTTTAAGAAGCAGGTGTAGTTTATTCACAAATATCAGAATTCAACGTTGTATGACTTTTAGTTATTCTTTCAGGTGAACAATCGTTACCTTTTAAATTACGAATGAACAAAATTAATATTTTTTAAGAAATCGATTTCATTCGTTGTCACTTCTTAATTATACAACAAACTGCTGTCATTGAAGTATCTTCCATTTTACTCTATTTTACTCTAACTCGTACAAGGTTTAGTCTTTAACACCCTAATTGTGAATAAGTCGTTTAAATCAAATCGCGTACAGAAAGTGTAACATGTAAAGAAAGACTTAGATCTGTATACATACATCTTGGTACCAAAAACTTTTAACCCAGGTAAATTAAACGAAAGTCGGGACAAAAATTAATACGTCCAATCCAAATGTTCTCACTTTTTCTGAAAGAACAAGTGAGAGAAATCGTATTTGCTTCGAGATTCGATCCTTGTATAATTTCGTCCTTGTTTCGCGATTTCGGCCCGGCTTCGATAATCCAAATACGCAGTGCAGCAAGTAAATAAATATACTTGCGTTCTCGGAACGCAAGAAGTCACGCATATGGAAATAGCTCATATCAGTTAGTAAGAGGAACGAGGCGACCTGAGCAGGAGGGGAGGCTTTCGAGGTACCAGTCTACCCGGAGGTAGGGGCAGTGTATAGGACGC